GAAGTCTTACTTATTGATCTAGGATATATGATATATTTCACTTCCCTTTTGAATAACTAGTATGGCTTATATATACTGTGTACATAACACGCATCTGCAAGTAGCTTGGGCGCAAATGTACAGATATATATGATCAATTAATAAGTCAGGTATTTCGAAATTGTTCCGAATTGTATGAAATAATTGTTATTATTAATCTTAATTACCCTAATAATTTGTTTTTTGTCTGTGGATTTGTTTATTTCATGTTTCAATTACCAAACGACCATCGATGGTCGTTTGGTAATTGGTTTGTTGAATATGATCTATCGAGTGGCACTGGCACTGACCATTGTTTTTTCACTTTCAAGTGTTTGTTAGTTTAGTTCGTTAGTTCATGTTTTTACTTGATTGATGTTCATGTATATATATATATATATATATATATATGTATGTATGTATATTAGTTTTGATTCTTTAATTTGCTCTATTGTAGTTTGTGCAGGTTGATCTTATAAGGTTCTTCATTATTTAATTTCCACTATCATTAAACCTTTGCAACAAATATTAATTTAAATTTACATGTCATACATAAAAAAAAAGTAAATAAAAGTATAATATTTTACATAACATATGCATGCATTCTTCTTAAAAAGTATGAAAAGTTGATTTAGTGACTATTTCATATATACAAGATTTGTGGTATAAAATGGGGGAGATGCTGCGATCTCGTTGTGGAACCATTCTGTCGGAATTTGTAATAGTTAGATCAACTATCTCGAGCTGTTAATTATATGATGATTTAATGGTTACAAACTTGACGAAATGGTTTCGTAACTTGTGGTAACAGTTAATGTAGACTTTCATCAGTCTTATAACTCTGACGGATGTCTCCATCATATGCATGTTGATGTAGAATTAAGAACAGTGAAAGGATCACAACTTTCGGCTCTTTCTCAGTGCTACTTCATTAATGCATTGTTATTACATTTATTGTTCATTAACGTGTGTGTGTGTGTGTTTTTTTTTTTTT